TTTTGCCTGGGCATCCAGCCATTTCCATATATCCTCTGAAATCTAGGTGGAGGTTCCCAAACCCCAATTCTTGACTTCTGTGCACTTGCAGGCTCAACACCAAGTGGAAGCTGCCAAGGCTTGGAGCTTGCACCTCTGAAGCCATGGCCCCAGCTCTATAGTTGGCCCCTTTCAGCCATGATTGGAGCAGCTGGGACACAGGGTACTAAGTCCCTAGGCTGCACACAGCATGGGGACCCTGGTCTGACCACAAAACCATTTTTTCCTTCTGGGCCTCCAGGCCTGTGATGGGAGGGGCTGCCGTGAAGACCTCTGACATGCTGAGGAAATGCCTTCCCCATTGTCTTGGGGATTAACATTTCACTCCTTTTTACTTATGCAAATTTCTGCAGCTGGCTTGAATTTCTCCTCAGAAAATGGGTTTTCTTTTCTGCCACATTGTCAGTCTGCAAATCTTCTGAACTTTTATGCTCTGCTTTCCTTATAAAGCTGAATGCCTTTAACAGCACCAAAGTCACCTCCTTTTTTGTGTGTGTGAGACAGAGTCTCTCTCTGTTGTCAGACTGGTGTGCAGTGGCACCGTCTTGGCTCACTGAAATCTCTACCTCCCGGATTCAATTCTCCAGCCTCAGCCTCCCAAGTAGCTGGGGCTATGGGAGAGTGCCACCATGCCCAGCTAATTTTTGTATTTTTAGTAGAGACAGGGTTTCACCACGTTGGCCAGGATGGTCTCGATTTCTTGACCTCGTGATCCACCTGCCTTGGCCTCCCAAAGTGCTGTGATTACAGGCATGAGCCACCACATCCAGCCCAAGTCACCTCTTCAGTGTTTTGCTGCTTAGAAATTTCTTCTACCAGTTACACTAAGTCATCTCTCTCAAGTTCAAAGTTCCACAAATCTCTATGCTGCCAGTCTCTTTGCTAAAACTTAACAAGAGTCACCTTTGCTCTGGTTCCCAACAAGTTCCTTATCTCCATCTGAGACCACCTCAGCCTGGACCTTGTTGTCCATACCACTGTCAGGCTTTTGGTCAAAGCCATTCAACAAGTCTCTAGGGAGTTCCAGACTTTCCCATATTTTCCTGTCTTCTTCTGAGCCCTCCAAACTGTTCCAACCTCTGCCTGTTAATGCAATTCCAAAGTTGCTTTCACATTTTCGGGTATTTTTTCAGCAACACCCTACTCTACTGGTATCAATTTACCGTATTAGTCCATTTTCATGCTGCTGATAAAGACATACCTGAGACTGGGAAGAAAAAGAGGTTTAATTGGACTTACAGTCCCACATGTCTAGGGAGGCCTCAGAATCATGGCAGGAGGTGAAAGGCACTTCTTACATGGTAGTGGCAAGAGAAAATGCAGAAGATACAAAAATGGAAACCTGTAATAAAACCATCAGATCTCATGGGACTTACTACCACAGAACATTATGGGGGAAACCACCCCCATCATTCCAATTATCTCCCACCAGAGCCCTCCCACAACACATGGGAATTATAGGAGTACAATTCAAGATGAGATTTGGGTGGGGACACAGCCAAACCATATCGTATTTGTATTATTTTTATATCACACATGTGTGCCCCCACCATGTTCTTTCATGTACATGGATAGTATTGTTGAAAATGTACTTTCTGTTGGACTTCCAATTTTAGACCAGGCTTAGGCCTAGGTTGTTGAATTATTAATGAAAAAATCTAGAGACAGAAAGTAGAATGGTGGTTACCAGGGACTAGGGCAGGGGGAAATGGGGAGTTCATATTTCATGGGTACCATGTTTCAGTTTGGGAAGGTGAAAAATTTCTAAAGGCACGTGATGGTGATGGTTATACAACAATGTGAATGTACTTAATGCCACTGAATGATACATCGACACATGGTAGAAATGGTAATTTTATGTTAGGTATATGTTACCACAATTAAAGAAAGTAAAAAAAAAAAAAATCACAGGGAAAATTCAATGGAAGACTCAGGAAATGGTTGGGGAGGTCAATTCCAAACCAACATACATTCTAAAATGTCAGAAATTGTCAGTTAGCAAAGTAGGATTAATTAGATTTTACACTTACATGTTTTTGTTGACATTTCTGGGAATAAAGAGAGATGAGTGTGATCATTCCTCTTCTATGTCAGTTCTAGAAACTTCTATTTGTTCTTCTCTTTGGTGCTTGCATGAGTACATACAAATGTGTGTGTGGTTGTGTTTGCAAACATGGACAATGGCTGGCGGGTTTGCTACTTTATTTCTAGTATTTCTGTGCCATTTTATTAATAGGAGAGCTGTGGGATCAGGCCTCTGGATATAACCTTGTCCTTCCTTAGTGCTTTGGAGTTCAAACTGAGTAACTCACAAAATACGTCTGCATCGGGACTGATTCACAGAGTTCATTTTCTCAAAGGGCAAACAACTTTTTGTTTCTGGTAGAAATTAAAGATGTGTTTTTAAAGACCCTCACTTCTTTTTCACCAAATGTATCACTATTCTTCCCTTTAATCCCATGAGATGGTTTTATGGGGTGGCACATAATTTGGAGCTCATGGAAGGCCTAAGAACCATTAACCAACTGAGCTAATCAGGTTCCTCTGCTAGTTTAATTTCAAATGGAATTCTCCATCCTCCATGATTGAAAGAGTACATTCACTTCTCGTAACAGTTTTTGTATGCATGACTGACAACCCTTGCTAGATCATAAGCAGTTTGGGGACAGGGATGGTGTCTTGTTCATGTCTGTACCCCATGCATCATCTAGTGTTCAATAAGGAATTGTTTATGGAAATGGATTACATGATTAAATTAGAAATACAATACAGGCTGACTTATTCCATCTCTGGACTTGCCTTGCTTACTGGATGCTTGTTACAATGACCTGAGACACTTCAGAAGCCTTAAGTGCTCTCTGAATTACCGAAGGGAGATGAGCTTGGACTAGTAGAGTGTTTGTGCTTAGTGCCTATTACTGGATTCTGATTCGTTGGAAACAAATTAATCTGCAGGGATATATTATTTCTTTTTCTTTTTTTTTTTTTTTCGAAGCGGAGTTTCGCTCTGGTTACCCAGGCTGGAGTGCAATGGCGCGATCTCGGCTCACCGCAACCTCCGCCTCCTGGGCTCAGGCAATTCTCCTGCCTCAGCCTCCTAAGTAGCTGGGATTACAGGCACGCGCCACCATGCCCAGCTAGTTGTTTGTATTTTTAGTAGAGACGGGGTTTCACCATGTTGACCAGGATGGTCTCGATCTCTTGACCTCGTGATCCACCCGCCTCGGCCTCCCAAAGTGCTGGGATTACAGGCTGAGCCACCGCGCCCGGCCAGGGATATATTATTTCTTTATGTTCTGAATGTTTGGTTAACCTGAATGCCTTAAGATCTTATGCCCCAACTGTGACAGATAGGATTAAAATTCCTTCCCTGAAGAGAACATATTCCTTTATGCTTCCACTATAAATTTATACACAAGTCATGTTTTGCTCCCATTCCTCCCTTGCTCCCATTCCTCCCTTCCCTGCAAGCTTCTAGAATTCTGTGTACCTGGGGCAGCATTAGCCCTTCTGGGGCTCCCCACAGTTGGCAAGAGCAAGTCACTGTGTGAGCAAGTCCTGGGCTCTGTTGTCTTCAGATGCTCAAGTCAGGAAGTAGGGGGCTGGAGGCCATTGTGCTCATTTTCCCAGAGATTATCAATGCTACCCCCACCCCTTTTAGGAGCTGGCATGTGCCATGATCGTAGCTCAGTGGGATCCTTAATGCCTGTGATCTCAGCTTAATAGGACAAAGATTCCAAGCCCGTTTCTGTTCTGGGAGGCAAAGCAGGACATATGGGCCTGGAGTGAAGCTTTGTTCCACTTCTCGCCATAGGCCGTGGTATGACTACAGCTGTGTCTAGTGTGGCCTGGTTTTACTTTCATGCCTGATTTGCGATGTGGCAGATCCTAAGATTAGAGCTCTGTGTCTACCAGTAGAGTCAAGAGACTTTGGCCTGGTCACTTGGCTACTTGCAGGGGGTTCTGGAGAGTCAAGTTCTCTGAATCTCGGTTGCCTTTAACATAAAAGGAAAGCTGTAGTTTCTGGTCTGGCTGATTCATATGGTTTTGGTCGGGAGTGAATGAAATTAATGTAGATTAAAAACACATTATGAGTAGCAAAGTGCTATGCAATCTATTAATAACAACATTTTAATCACTCTTGTCCTATGTACCAGGCACTGTTCTAAGCTGTTTACAAATAGTAATTCATTTAGTTGAATGCTCACAACCACCTTATGAGAGAACTACTGTTAATAGCACCATTTTATGGGAAACTGAGGCACAGAGAGGTTATGTAACTTGTGGAAGGTCACACAACCAGCAGGTGGTGCAATCAAGGTTTGAACCAGGCCATGAGGAGTCAGCATTTGTTATTGTTCCTATTCTGGGAGCATAGCTGGGGGGGCAATGTAGCACTGGTTTGGAGAACACATTAAGCTGGCCTCCTGTCACCCACTGAGTGAGATGAGATCATCACCATACATTACTGGCACAGCCAGCTATCCATGGTCAGCAGCAACAGATAGTCTTGCAGGGACATGGATAGCTCAGCTAGTGAACACTGATGTGTTGTTCAATGAATAGCTGGAGTCAATGGTTGGATCTCATTTAGAGGCATGCTCTGGCATTCCAGTTTCACATCATTTGCTTTCCAGGCCCACTCCAGGATGAAAGTACTGATGCGCCATACTGATGGCAAGATGTTGGAGGGTTCAGGAGCCGCCAAGGTTATGTTAGTGCTGACCTGCTGGCAGAGGGTACAGCGGTGTCAGCTGCTTTGCTAAACCGAGCTGCTGATTTCTACACGTTCCAGGCTTGTCAGGATTTTCAACATGTCCCCGGGGCCACTGAGCCAGCATCTCTCTTTGTCAGGTGAACCGAGAGGTGACCTTTAAACCTAGGGATGTTCTCCAGATGCAGTTCCAGCTGGGCCAGTAAGATCTGCATGCTGATGGTGCTGTTTTCTCTTTCCTTCCCAGGCAGCCGGGATTGCTTACCACCTGCAGTGTGCTTTCGGAGGCGGCGGCTGGCACGGAGACCAGGCTACATGAGAAGCTCGACAGGGCCCGGGATCGGGTTCCTTTCCCCAGCAGTGGGCACACTGTTCCGGGTCCCGGGAGGGGTGTCTGGTGAGGAGTCCCACCATTCAGAGTCCAGAGCTAGACAGTGTGGCCTTGACCCGAGAGGCCTCTTGGTTGGGAGCCCTGTTTCCAGGAGCACAGCAGCCCCTGCTGTGACCTCTGTGAGAGGAACCTCAGCACACTTTGGGATTCAGCTCAGAGGTGGCACCAGATTGCCTGACAGGCTAAGCAGGCCTTGTGGCCCTGGGAATGCTGGGTGGCAGCAAGAGTTTCCAGCCATGGACAGTTCTGAGACCCTGGACGCCAGCTGGGAGGCAGCCTGCAGTGAAGGAGCAAGTAGTACCCAGGCAGCAGGCTCTCTGCCATCAGCGGAGTTGAGTAGCTGCAGCCCTGGCTGTGATCCTGAGGCCCCCTCAACTCCTCCTGGCTCTCACAGTGCCTTTGCCTCAAGCTTTAGCTTTATTCGGCTCTCGCTTGGTTCCGCTGGGGAACGTGGAGAAGCAGAAGGCTGCCCACCATCCAGAGAGACTGAGTCTCCTTGCCAGAGCACCCGGGAAATGGGAGCCAAAGCTACCAGCTTGAACGAGCCTCACGAAGACCCTCGATGTCTCCCTCGGTCCTTCAGTCTCTTGGCTCCACAGGTCTTGGCAGACTCGGCCCAGGCCGCAGGGAACAGCTCCAGGCCAGAACATGAGATGCATTCTTTACGGGATATGGATCTTGGCTCCTCCAGTTCTCTGGATCCCTCACTGGCTGGCTGTGGTGGTGATGGGAGCAGCAACTTGGGGGATGCCCACTCTTGGGACCCCCTGCTCAGGAAATGGGAGCCAGCGCTGCGGGACTGCCTGCTGAGAAACCGGAGGCAGGTGGAGGTCAGTGTCTCCCCTCTGTGGCCCAAGATTGTTGTGAGCTCAGATTAGCACTGGGCAGAGGGCAGGAAATGAGGGGTTCTGGACTCAACTGGCTTCCTCCTGGAAGCTGCAGCAGCTCCTTTTGGAGCTGGCTGCATAAGCCTGTGGCTGCCCTTCTGTCTCTTTGAATTGGACACAAATCTGCTCTCCTTTTTGTCTTCTCTGTCACTTAGGTGCTCAGATTTGCTTTCCATCGGGCCTCAGGCTTCTCCGTAGGTCCTGGCCTAGGTGAGATGTGGTTCACTCAGCCCAGCTCTGCTTTGAGACAGGAAACTAGCGGCAGGGGCAACTGAGCTGGGTGATGTTTGGAAGGGGTTGAGAGATATAAAAATGAGGATGCTCTGTATCAGGGCGATCCTGCTCTTCATCCGCTTCACTCATTCCCTTTCATCCTGCTGCAGTGGGCGCTGCCTTCCATAGGGTCAGGAGGCTTCACTTCTGGTCATTGAAACTCTCTGGCTCTCAGTTTCCATAGTTTTTTTTGTTTTGTTTTTGAGATGGAGTCTCGCTGTGTCGCCCAGGCTGGAGTATAGTGGCATGATCTTGGCTCACTGCTACCTCTGCCTCCCAGCTTCAAGCAGTTCTCTGCCTCATCCTCCCAAGTAGCTGGGATTAACAGTGTGCCACCATGCCTGACTAATTTTTGTATTTTTTAGTACAGACGGTGTTTTACCATCTTGGTCAGGCTGGTTTTGAGCTCCTGAGCTCGTGATCCACCCGCCTCGGCCTTTCAAAGTGCTGGTATTACAGGTGTGAGCCTCCGTGCCTGACCAGTTTCCGTATTTAGAGATAACACCAACTCATAGGATTGTTCTAAGGCTCAAGGGAGAATGTAGCTGCTGTGGAAGTAAGGATGAACTGGAGACTTGTAAGCCCCAGCCTTATGATGATGCTGTCCATCCAGTTACTGAGAGGTGGGTATAGCTGGAAGTAGGCAGAGTTTCTCTACCCACAAAAATACTCGAGAAGCCCAGGTAGAGATGCACTGTGTCTTATCTATTGCCAGACTGTGTTTTAATCCTGGGGGGTGTGTGTGTGTGTGTGCATATGTGTGTGTGTGTGCATGTTTGTATTGTGTGTGCATGTGCATGCATGTGCAACTGTGTATATATTTGCGCATACATGTACACTCGTGTTTGTGCATGTGTGTGTGCATGTGTTCATGTGAATAGGGAAGTGGAACACCCACTCATCAGGCGTTTGGGAGGAGTAAACTGCAGAAGTTCATGTTCATTCCCTGAAATAGCATCTACCTTCAGTTCTTATCTACAGTCTGATGTTCCTAGTCCTGTCCCTGTTTACCCTGTTTCAGCCCTCAGGGACCTCAGCCCAGCCCTCTGATTTATCATGCAGAGAGGGAGTGAGGCCAGAGCAGAGATGTAGGCCTGTATTTTGGGTGATATGTGGAGTCTTGCAGTAAGTCATTGCCCAAACCAGGGCTTCTGTCTTTCCCCAAACCTGTTCTAAAGGGCCTCCAATATTGATTGATTTGAATGCATGGAATCTATCCAGTTTCTTAGTCCAGAAGCCACACCGTCTTCCACACCTCCCTCTCCCGCATTCCACATCTGGCCAGCCTCCAAGCCCTCTCAGTCCTACCGCTAATCTGTCTCTCACCACCATGGCTGCTGCCCTGGCTCAAGTCCTTGTTATCTTCCACCTGGGTTTTTCAAGGTTTAGGCTGTGTTTCTCTTCTCCAGTTAATTAAATTAAATGTGGTCGCATGTGCACAGTGCTTCAGACAGGGGCTGGCACCTAGCAAGTACCCAGAAATTGCCCATTGTCATCATTAGAGAAATAGCTCCAAATTAGAGTTTGAGTGAAAAGCAAATGAAGTTCTCCTTTCTGCCCATAGCTCAAATTAAATTCCCATCCTATCTCAAATGGTAGAATCTGGACACAATTTTTCTGTAGTCTAAATGTTGTCTATGGTAATCCCATACCTGGGCGGGAAAATCATGACACTATCTTCAATTACAGTCTACTGCATAATGACGGATCACATATATGATGTGACAGTGATCCTATAAGATTATCATACCGTGTTTTTGTTATACCCTTTCTTTTTCTTTTCTTTTTTCTTTTTTTTGAGACAGAGTCTTGCTCTGTTGCCCAGGCTGGAGTACAGTGGTGTGATCTCAGCTCACGGCAACCTCTGCCTCCTGGGTCCAAGTGATTCTTTTGCCTTAGCCACCTGAGGAGCTGGGATTACAGGTGTGCACCATCACGCCCAGCTAATTTTTTTTTTTTTTTTGTATTTTTAGTAGATACTGGGTTTCACCATGTTCGTCAGGCTGGTCTCGAACTCCTGACCTTGTGATCCGCCAGCCTTGGCCTTCCAAAGTGTTGAGTTTACAGGCGTGAGCCACCGTACCTGGCCTTGTTGTACCCTTTCTATGTTCAGAATTGTTTAGACACACAAATACTTACCACTGTGTTATACTTGCTTACAGTATTCAGCACAGTCACATGCTGCACATCCTGGATTTGTAGCCTAGGAGCAATAGACTATTCCATCTAGCCTAGGTGTGTAATGGGCTACACCATCCAGATTTGTGTAAGCACACTCTACGATGTTCACACAACAGTGGAGTTACTTAATAATGTGTTTTTCAGAATGCCTCCCTGTCATTAAGTGATGCAAGACTGTACTTGAGTATTTTGTGCGGGAGAGGCATTAACAGAGTAGTGGGGATGACAGAAATAACTCAGTCTCGGACGTAGGACTTACAGGAAGGCAGAGTTTGCCTCAGTCAGAGGAAGAACCTCTTGACAGTGGGAGCTGTCTGATGAGGCGAGCTGCCCAGGAACTTGTTTTCCCACGGTGTTTAGGCAGAGGCCCCAGATTGCTCACTGGGGTTGTGGCTAATGTCCTTGGGACAGGGCAGAAGGTCGAGTGAAGTATATCCAAAGAAATCCTTTCAAATAGTAGGATTTCTAGTGTTTGGGAGCCTTTTTGATATTATGTTCTAATTCCTTAACCTTCTTTCCCTTCTACTTAAGTAAAAATGAGAATCTCAGGAATACAGGTTTCAGTTTCTTCTAAAAGGTGGTTGCTCCTCAGTATTCGTGGATTCTATATGTGTAAACTCATCTACTTGCTAAAATTTGTTGTTAACTCCAAAATCAATACTTACAGCACTTTTACAGTCATTTTAAATATTGATTTTACTTTTTAAGAGATGGGATATCTCTCTGTTATCCAGACTGGGGTGCAGTGGTGTGATCATAACTCACTGTAATCTTGAACTCCCGGGCTCAAGTGATTCTCCTGCCTCAGCCTCCCTAGTGGCTGAGACTACAGGCACATGCCACCATGCCCAGCTAATTTTTTTTGTGGGGGGGATAGAGATAGGGGGTCTCACCGTGTTGCCTAGACTAGTCTTGAACTCCTGGCCTCAAGCGATCCTCTTGCCTCTGCCTCCCAAGGTACTGGGATTACAGGCATGAGCTGCCATGCTTGGTGGTCATTTCTGAACCTGTACAGAGTGGCAAAAAATTTGAGTCACTTGATGTGCATGCTTTCTACTTAGGTCAAACAAGGTCAGACCAGACGACATTCTGCCTTCTCTTTCGTACTGCAAACTAGTATCCTTTTTATGGTCTATTTAATGCCATCTTTTTTTTTTACATTTTTGTGTTCTTTATTGGTGAGTTTGCCATTTCCAATGGCCCCCAAGCACAGTGCTAGTGCCATCTTGTGCTACTAAGCACGAGAAAGCTGTGATGGGCCTAATAGAGAAGACATGGGTGCTCCATAAACTTCATTCAGGCATGTGTTAGAGTGCTGTTGACCAGAGTACAATGCTCATGGATCAATAATACACTTTAAATAAGGTGTTTTTAAACAGAAACACACATAGAACAAGGTTATGTGTTGATTGATTGAGGAATGTATTGTGACCAGGGGCTCATGGGAACCTATCCTGTATTTCTCCTAGGAGCCATGCTTCATTATTCCCTAATTCATTATTCACAGACATTTTATAGAAAATAACTACAGTACTATGAATAAGGAGAATCGACTGTGTATATTTTATGCTGTTTAGAAATTGCTGCCCAGCGAGATTTCCAGGGGTTGTGTGGGACTGAGAAGATGATAATAAAGGCAGTTGGTAACCAGGCGTGCAGAGGAGGGAAGTGGAGTGGGCCCACAAGGTAGGCTCCACCTAAGGCCATAGAAACTGGTGAGAAAGGAAGGACGATGGCTACAGGGCATTACAGGACATTCCACAGGCAGGTTGGTGACACCATCCCGTGGCCACTGGGGCTGTGCCTCCAGCAAAGATGGGCATTCAGACATATACCAGGGCAGTCCATTCAGGGTCTTATGGAGATCACTGGATGAGGCAGGCATGGTGGGGTGGGCTTTGGCTGTAAATGAGTTTTTTCTGACCCTGTTTCCTGCATTTCTTCGGCTTCTGTTCTAATAAATGTTTAACGATACTGTCATTTGGGTGTGGTGATGGTAATGCTACAGCTTTATGTGGCCCTCAAACCATTCACACAGCCTTTCTTCTATCCCTAATATATTGGACTAAGTTACTGGTAAACTTCCCAGTTGTAATATAGAGCAATTCAAGGACAGAGGGTTAATATCATTGTTCATTCATTCTTTCAATCATTCAAAAAGCATTTTTCAGTGACTACTAGTACAATGTCTTATGCTAGGCTTTGGAGGTGCTTCGGATAGGTTAGTAATAGGCATTACATTAGAGGCTCAACACCATAAAATTGTGTTTCTTGCGTATGCTTCATGTTCGACAGGGGGTTTTGGGGGGCACTGCTCCATAGAATCACTCAAGAACCCAGCCTGTGCCATCTGATCATATGGCCCCCTTAGTCACTGACATGAGGAAGAGAATGTTTGGAAGTCCTACAAGAGCAATCAGATGCTTCAGTGTAGAGGTAACCCCATCACTTCCACTCATACCCCCGTTCAGCAGAACAAGGAGAAAGGCACTTGTACTCTTTCCATGTGCCCAGAGCAGTGGAGAATCAAGTAAGTGTAAGTATTAGCATCTTATACATGGATGCAAAATAGTTCTTCATCCTCCAGATGCTCAAGGTTGAATGATGTTCACCCACAAAACCAAGCAAAGCGAAACAATGAGTATAACCTGGTGTAATCAGTACTCCATTCTTCCAGTGGCTCAGAAAAAAACAAAAAACCCAAACAAACCTTGGCATCATCCTGGTACGTCACCCTCAGACCCCACCTGTGATGTGTAGGAAATCCCATTGGCTCTATGTTTAACCAGCCATCTTCTGAATATATCCAGAATCAGATCACATCTCACCATCTTCGCTGTTTTCATGATCTTCACTATCATCCAAGCTCCCGGCGTCTCCTTCCTGAATGTTCCCATAGCCTCCTACCTGGCCTCCCTTCTTCTGCCCTTACTAACAGCAGCCAGAGTGAAACTGTTTAAAACATAATTCAGATCATGTGCTGTTCCGCTCCAAGCCCTCCAGTGGTACCCCGTGAACTTCAGAGTAAAATCAGAACTTTAAAATGGTCTTCATGTCTCTTCTTGTCACCATCCTCATTACCCCTCTGACCTTATTCTCTACAGTTTTCTCTTCTATCAATATGCCCCAGAGCCAGTGACAGTCTTGCTTCCATTTGCTTTTCATTTCACTTTCACTTATTGCTTTCTTATCAGAAACGCTTCTGCATTGAGCTTTTGTACTGGCTCTTCCTCTGTGGGAATGTTTTTCTCCCAGAGAGCCTTATGGTTCAGTCCCGTACTGCTTTTAAATCTTTGCGTAAATGTCACCATCTCAAGGAGATCAGATTTCAAATTGCAGTCCCCACCTCTACCAGCATCCCCAATCTCCCTAACTTGGTTCTCCCTTTTCCTTTCTCATAGTATTAATCCCTTGCTAAGGTGCCATAAAACTTACAGTTGACTGGCCGGGCGTGGTGGTTCATTCCTATAATCCCAGCACTTTGGGAGGCCAAGGCGGGTGTATCATGAGGTCAGGAGATCGAGACCATCCGTGTTAACATGGTGTAATCCCGTCTCTACTAAAAATTAAAAAAATTAGCTGGGCGTGGTGGTGGGTGCCTGTGGTCCCAACTACTTGGGAGGCTGAGGCAGGAGAATCGCTTAACTAGGGAGGCAGAGGTTGCAGTGAGCCGAGACCACATGACTGCACTCCAGCCTGTGCAACAGAGTGAGACTTTGTCTAAAAAAAAAAAAAAAAAAAAAAAAAAACCAAACCAAAAAAAAAACAAAACAAGAACCTTACAGTTGACCCTTGAACCACATTGGTTTGAGCTGCAAGGGTCACTTACATGCAGATTCTCTTCCACCTCTGCCACTCCTGAGACACCAGGACCAACCCCTCTTCATCCTCCTCCTCAGCCTACTCAAGATGAAGATGATGAGGATGAAGACTTTGATGATGATCCACTTCCACTTATGAATAGGAAATTTATTTTCTGTTTCTTATGATTTTTTCTTCATCAGTCAATGCTGATTTTATTTTCTTCTCAATGATTTTTAAATAACATTTTCTTTTTTTCAGTTTACTTTTATTGTAAAATACAGAATATAATACCTATAACAAACAAAATGTGTGTTAATCAACTGTTTATGGTAATTCTCTAGTCAACAGTAGGCTATTAGTAGTTAAGTTTTGGGGAAGTCAAAAGTTTTATACATATTTTCAACTGTGTAGGGAAGGGAGTCAGTGCCCATAATCCCTGTGTTGTTCAAGAGTCAACTGTATTATGTTTTTGTCCATAATGTAAGTCTAGAGGGCTAAGCATTTTATGATGTATCTTTGGTACACTAACACAATACAAAAAAGGCCTGATATCCAAGAGGCACTTGGTAAATATTTGTTGAATGGGTCTATGAATAGAAGCAAGAACAGGTCACAGTGGTGATATAGAGGAGGGACATTTAATACAGACTGAAGGAGACAACACCTGTGCTAAGGGTTGAAGAAAATGTAGGTGTGAGCCAGGCAAAGAATGGGAGGAAGGTGTTCTTTAGCCCAAACCCATTCATTGGTAGGCCAAGAATTCATTGTCAGTAAATCTCTGGGTCTCCCATTGAGAAGAACAATGATTGTATTACTCAGTTCTCATGCTATTAATAAAGACATACCCAAGTCTGGGTAATTTGTACAGAAAAAGAGGTTTAATGAACTCACAGTTCCACATGGCTGGGGAGGAGGCCTTACAGTCATGGTGGAAGGCAAAAGAGGAGAAAGGCATGTCTTACATGGTAGCAGGCAAGAGGGAGCTTGTATAAGGGAACTCCTTTTTATAAAACCATCAGATCTCATGAGACTTACTATCATGAGAACAGCATGGGAAAGACCCATCCCCATAATTCAATTACCTCCTACCAGGTCCCTCCCACAACATGTGGGAATTATGGGAGCTACAATTCAAGGCAAGATTTCAGTGGGGACACAGCCAAACCATATCAATGATGCTAAGTCAACACATTAGTAACACTCAGACAAGTAACTGGATCACTGAGTCTCCATGTGGGTTAAATAGACTGTGCCCTTTTCTGTAATGGAAAATATTTGAGCCTTAGGGCTTCTCAGAAGGGTTTTGTGAGGGCTTTGCCGTCATTCCTACCCAAGCAGCCTGCTGAGCTGAAGTTCATGCACTTTTTCTCTTGGTTTTTCTTCCAATTTCGATGTGTTTACCTTTATAATTTTAATGTAATTTTTATAACAGAGACCATTTGGTCAGGAAATTTGTATTCCTTCTCATTATGCATTTCTTCATGCAGATAAGGGCACAGTGTGATGTTTTTGTTTAAAATAACATTTTAACTTTTTATGTGGATGTTATGATCAAATTACGCTTTTTCTTTATATCAGCTTTTTTTTGAGAAATGAATGTATCTGGCATTGAAAAACATGTGCATTTTGTTTTTTAAAAAGAGAAGTTCAGTTTTGAAACACTTTCTAAATGTTCTTAGTTTTCACAAGTTTTTGCTTGAATTCTATTGTAATTTTTTATTTTTTCCCCTTTAAACCAACATAGGTAATATCCTTAAGATTAAAGCTTCAGAAACTTCAAGAAGCTGCAGTTGAGGATGATGATTATGATAAAGGTGAGTTTTAATTTGTTTATTGATTTTTTTTCTCAGAATGTCCCATTTCTCTTTCCCTCCTTACTCATATCTACCCTTTAAATACCAAACGAATTGTACACTTTGATCCTCTGATCATCGCCACCAGGGAATAGTTGACTCTTTTACAGCATTATTGTTTTGTGGATTTCAAAGTACTTTATGAACATTAATCCTTTGGGTTATAAATGTAACCTTTTCAATTGTCCAGAGTAGTTGCACAATGAAAATTATATTAGCTTGTCACCTGTCTGCCCGTGGTGTGATATATCTATAATTCACTTGTTCATGAAAAAATATTTGTTGAACACCTATTAAGTGCCAGGTAACATGGGAGGCGATAGGAAAGTAAGACAGACATGGTATCTTGCCCTTGTGTTGCCAGTCAACATAAGTCTTCATGGGGCTTTTTGACTTCATAATTTCCAGAATCAGAGATAGAAAATGGGATTTGAGAAATATCAGACTGTGCCAAAGGGGGTCACATGCATCAAACTTCCACATACGTGGCCTAAAATATCCAAGATAAAAAGGAGAAGTTACAACATAAGGTCAGAAAAAAAACAGCAATTAAAATGAGGCACCAATATAGAAGCTGGGGTGGAAGCGGAGGAGGGCTGACATGGGGGTCGAATGGGCACAAGGTAGACTGAGTCGAAGGAAAGCTTTGAGGTGTGGTTGTCCTGGGAACAACCCTGAAAACTTTAGATGCTCATTGCAAGATCTCGCACCCATTTCTGCTGGGTATGGGAAAGAGAAAGGGCTTCAAATGACATCTAGATTTCTCTAGGCACCTACTAACTTGATAGAAACTCCTGGTGTTGATCAAGTTTTGTACATCCAGGATTTATCTGGAAATGGAATTTAAGGATTCTTCTGGAAGCTGGTTAGCTTTAAGGTATGGGTGTTCAGCCTTCTTAGCCCATATGATATTGTCATTGAATATGTCATAGACTGTTGGAATCAGGGCACTATGGGAATAAGATGAGTGATTTCCAAAAGGAGATAGAAAATCCTGTTCTAGGAAATACTGTTGCATATTCTCGTTACCGATTCATTGCAGTTGGGTTTAGGAAGTGATGGGGGCATGGGAGGAAGGGAGAAAGGATTGGAGACAGAGGAGGGACCCTCTACATTCTCCCAATCCTCCTTCTACAGGCTGCTTGATTTCATAATAACACTGGGTGGAAGATGAGGTGCCTGAGAGAGGAGGCGAGTCAGAGGCAGGGCAAGGCACCCCTCAACCCCAGCGTCAGCAGCTTCAGCTCAGGCACAGCTGTAGGCAGGGAGGAAATGAGCTATTCTGGGCCAGGGTTCACCTGCTGGTTTTCGTCTGTGAGAGATAATTACATCTAGCTTTGAAGCTCCCCACTATTGCACAGATTTATTTTTCTTGCCATGGGTCGAGTCATGGTCTCTCTACCTTTAATGACATTGTAACACATAAAGCTTACAGCACAAGTGAAAAACCAGGACAATCAGGCCCTAGTTTGTCCCCCGCCCCTGCTCAGGTCCTGGTGAACTTTCTAGACTTGGTTCTCTCAATGGGCTTCATTAAATGGAGTCCTCACTTCTTTATAGTCTTTTCTCCAAACATTCTGCAAAACCTAAGGGAATGGAGTTTGACAGGATACCCCTCATCAGGAAAGCCTAAAGAATATAGGCGTGTTTCTTTAGTGGTTCTGCCCGTTTCTGTTCTTGTTGGTACCTCACTACTTACTGCGTCAGGAGTTTCAGGGTGGGCTCAGCATTCTGTGATTCCCAATCCCTCTCGGTGAGTGGGGTGTGTCTTGAGGCTTGAGAAAACATGGGTGCAGAGCTTGTACCAGTGAGAGCCAGGCCTGGGGGGCAGCAGCTGGCCGAGCCCTGGAAGTGAGGTTGAGTCTGTGGGCTGTGTTCTTTCTGATCCACCAGAAGTCTGTGCAACAGACAAGCATCCCAGTAGGCACAGGACACACAATTTACACGCCACTCCCCTTGTCTTGTTCCTAATCCCATAAACCTGATTCGGTGTGTGGAGAGGTAAATGTTCTTATGGAATAGGCACAATGCCTGCATATAGGAGGCAGACCCTCAGTAACTGTTGTGTGAAGGAATTAATTAATAAATGACTTGCTGCCTGCGTGCATGGAGGCTATGGATGGCAAGCTAGAGTGAACAAGGAGAAAGTGCTCTTGCCACCCGTAGGTAGCTCATCTGCAGTGCCCAGGATGGAGGGTGGGGGTGGGTGAAGTGGAAGCATCTTTGCATAGAAATTGGCATATGTGAAAAGTATCTATTAAGTATAACAGCACTTCTCAGACTTTAATGTATCTATGAATAACCTGGGTAGGTAAAGGATTAAAATGCAGATTCTGATGAAGTAGGACTGAGGTGGGTGGGAGACTCCATTTCTAATTATCTCCCAAATGATGCACATGCTGCTAGCCTATGAGTCACACTTTGAGTAATAATGGCATATAAGAAATCCAAACAATGCCCCAATCTCAAGTACATGTCATGAGGCTCACTACATCCTTAGCACCTACGAAAAATGCCAACACTTAGACCTGCAAACATGCCATGTATAAAGGCATACCAAATGCCGTCCTCAAGATCTGCATCTCAAGAATTATGCAGTCCAGGAGGGGAAGCTGGCTCATACACAGTAAGAATAATAAACTTATACACAATATCTCCCTTCAAATAAAAACAAGACAGTCCCAAAGAGGGAGAAATGCCCTCTGCCAGAGCTTGGGGTGGGTGAAGAATTGGCGCAGTGGAGGAGGAGGAGGTTTAGATGGGTCCTGAAGGGTAGGGTCTGATGCAGCTGGCAGGGCATTCCAGCAAAGAGAAGACGGAAAAGGCACTGTTATCACAAGTCACCATCCCAAAGTCGGGCTTGAAAAGAGGGTTGCAACTGACTATTGTTTGAAATGGATCACAAAAGGGCTTAGTGCTTGGACTTGTCAGTGATCAGTAAGTTATTATAAATTGATCACTAAGTCATTAGAAAAGTTTGGAAGACAAAAGTAGACAATTTGTTGTTATGAGATTTGTTCAAATAAGATTTGAATACAATTTCCTCTCATATAGTTAATTGAGGGTGACTATTAAACATTTTAAGACTTGTTGAGTGTTTTTTTTTATAGTTTTTGCTTGATTTGCTCCTTTTTCACTGTTAGGAGCAGCTGTGCACCTCTGCTCTGTCTCAGGGGAAGGGGTCTACCCGAATCTGAAAGGTTTGCCGGGAGAAATGAGAGGGCAGCCTTCTCTCCCTTGGTTTTTGTTGTTGTTGTTGTTTTTCTCTCTTTCTTTCCAGTTTCAATCATAAAAGTGACTTTGTGTTCTAAAGAAAGAAGCAGTTGGCATAGAATATAAAGTTCCATGTTTTATCTCATCAAAGCGCTGGCAAATTTACCCATTAGTGCCTGGTGGGAAAACCTTCTCAGGGCTCTATGTCTCTCCCTCACTAGGAAAATAAAGTTAATATTTCTTTATATTTTTGCATAAGGTGGAAGGGCTTGGGAGAAAAAGAATAAAGCTTTTTATTGACAGTATTTGCACAGCATCCTCCGAGAGGTTTCATCAGATTCAGTGCATTAATGCCTGTCCCGTGCTTATGGTCAGCTGAGGCGCAAGTTTGAGACCTCAGGATCCTGCAGGGAGAGGAATTGTAGTCAGTGCTGGACATAATGATTCCAGCTCTGATGTGGGCGGGGCAGAGAAAAGGAGGGCCTGGGCAATGAGTTTCCATGTGGTTACTGTTCCAGTTGCTCCTGCACCCGTTTGTGCCCCATAATATCCCCCTGGCTGCTCATGTCCCACATCCAGCAGTGACCATGCCCAGCTCCACTTCCAATGCGAGCAAGGAGAGATTGTGAAGAGGAAGGAACACAATTTTGGGAACTCAGCATTTCAGTGACTTATATCAATGTGAAATGTGATATATAGTGCAGCTGGCCTCACTCTGCTTGTTTAGAATTTCCTTCTTGGAGTAAAAGTAGCCAGCATTGTATTACTTTCTCAATCCGTTGTCTCCACCCCTCTCCATTGTGACACAGTTCTAGTACAATAAACATATACAATGACAGGCATTGAAAGAAAAATGGTCGCAGCAGAGGCCAAGCATAAAAACACTCTAGGGTGAGACCAGCTTTTGTCTAAATTACCGTAATGACCCTTTTTATGAATTATGTCTTGAGCAAGATTTCCGTATCCATAGTTCCTCTTCAGTGATGGTGTGCAAATTACCCAACCTGATACCCCTTTCCTTCACAAGGAACCTGCCTTACACCTCCCAGAGGGTTTGATGTCTGGGTGAACTCCAGGAGCCTGGAAGTTAGAACCAGAATCCCTGCTACAGAACTGTCAATGTGACTGAACACAGCAAAACCCCACAGGTTACTTTTCCTGTGTTACTTTCTAGTCTAGAAAGAAGAAAACAAGATTGAATAGAATTGCTCATTTTTATATCCTCAGGACTGCCAGAGTCAATGGGAGGTGGATGCTATTTGGGGGCCCATGGAACATAAATGCTTCTCTTAGCAACCTGTGTCGTTTTGCTTTGTGACTTAAAAAGTGGACTGCAATTGAAATCTGCTCAGAGAGACAGGTCCAGCAAAACTATCACTTTATAATGTCTGCAGAGAAAAAAAGCAAACCATGACCATAGGTGCAATTTCCACCTGGAGCTCCCCTGAACAGGTACTTCCCTCCCACCCTGCATACCGGGACTTTGGAGTGTTCTTGCCTGTGCTCTATAGAGCTCTCCTTCCCTTTCCTGTGAGATCTGCTTGCAATATCACCTTGTCCTGGCATACTAACAGAATCTATTGATTAAAACCCAAATCAACAGCCCAAATCTCAAGTATGTGTCATGAGACTCACTACATCCTTAGCACCTGTGAAAAATGCCAACACTTAGACCTGCAAACACAAATGGGAGCTGCTCAGAGTCACCATTGGTTATGATCTCTGCCCTTAATGTACAGAATGATAAA